TTAATTAACTTTTTTAACGTTGTAATTAAACTTTAATTTAAAGTAATTGCTAATTACTAACTAAAACTTTGTGAAATGCGTAGTACAGTTTTACGGTTGGGTAATTACACGTCGATATATGTTTAATTGGCATTAAAAAGCATATAAAATGAGTCATTACAAACTAATTTTTTATTTCGAATAGAAAGATAGTGCATGTTAATAGGTAACCTTACTTAGATAATATTTTTTTAATTAAAATATACTGTATTGACTATTGATAGCTGTACAATCGATTAATAAAACGTTTTCATTAAAAACATATTAGTACAATAACATAAGGGGTTTGAGGTTTTTAACATGAGACCGGATTGCTTAATTTCAAGAACACAGAAAAATAGATATATATCTATTCAGAAACGCGGATCGAGGTGTGTATAGACAGATTGACAGACGGACAATATAAAAGTTTCAACGTATTCGGAAGCTCGTCCATCAAAATGATACGCGCTCAATCAAAGCAGATTGATGTGACCGATAAAATAATATTCTAAGCTTTTTGCATATTATGATGGGTTAAAATATTTTTGAATATTAATATTATACAGAAACATTCTATTCAGAATTTGGAATGTTAGGGGTAAAAAATTTATTATAATTTACTAGTGGCATACCTATAGGTACATTTGCTCTACTCGGGTGCATCCCTAGGTGCCTATATCTATACATATAATAAAATTGTAACTAAGTCGAATCTGTGCATTAAATATTTTTTGGAATATAATTGAAATAGATATTAGTATCGATACAGAGGCCGAATCTATAGTTTTTAGAATTTTTGTCTGTCTGTCTGTTACCGCATTACGAGAAAACCACTGGTCAGATTTTGATGAAATTTGGTTTGATGATAGCTGGTTATCCGGGTCAACATATAGGATACTTTTTACCGCGGGAAAATATCTCATTTTTGAGAAAAAATACAAAAACTGCAATGTAAGAGTATACAAATATGTAAAATCTAAGAATTTGGTTTTTGGTCATCTGATCGCGGGCGAAGCCGCGGGCAATGCTAGTTATTTATATATACGTAATATTACAACCCTCGTTCGCTTCGCGTGAAGACTTGATTAATAAACATTAACTTTTCTTTACTTTCTACGATTATAATAAGTATATACCTATGTATTTTACATATTGTGCGCATTAGAACTAAGCGACAAATAGGCGGACGCGAAGAGCGATTTTATTTTATATGTAGTTACATACTGTCTATCCATAATTATTAATTATAAACAATAGGTAGGCATATTGTATTATTTTCTTTGCTTTACTCCCAACAGAATATAATATTAAATATATAGATTTAATGGTTTTTCTCGTGATGCGTTCCCAAACAGACAGGCCGACAAAAATTCTAAAAAATGTAGATTCGGCCTCTGTATTGATAATAATGAAGATTTCATGAAGGTTTTCCAAAAAATATTTAATGTACAGATTTGACTCAGAATTTTATTATATCAATGTATAGATTTGTAATGGATCATGAAAATAAAACATTGTTTAATATTGTTAATTCTTAACAAATCCACCCCTATTAGTGAATGGTAGCGTGACAAGATTATAGATAAGGGGTTGTAACTTGTAAGGGTGAACCTCAAAAAACACACCGACGGTTAAATCTGTTCCACCGATCGCTTGTACAGATAATTCTAAATGTGTCGAAGTGAACATGTTATTTTTTTTTCATTTCCTATATTTTGTTGGATATAATTTCAATATTTATTTGTTTGTTGTCATTATTTAATAGGAATACGTAAATATTTTTACTTTGTTTTCTTTTGTATACGTGCTAATAAAATATAAGCCATACAAATTGATTTATCAAAGTTATTAAATATCATATAGGTAGGTGCTTAGTAGTAAATAAGAAAACTCATCATTTAGTCGTAACTCTTTTTGACGATACCTCGTAATCCCGCTAGTAATTAACTACACTACACAAAGAAACTTCGGTGGACTTTTTTGTATATTGTTAAAAAATATCTAACAATACTAGAATATAATGGCAGAAAAGGTTCTTTATTACAAGTGGCAATACCTCAAGTGCGCAAACGATGCGTGTGTTTCCACGAGACTGGGCAGTGAAATCGGTAGCCCTTCTTTTGATGTCACAAAGACGCCGGTGGTTTTGATGATAAGAGCAGGTTAAATAACTGTAAATTATATCTTTTTTTTTATTTTAACTATCTACTAACTATTGAAAGTTTAGTTAATTTATGTCTTGAATATTTAGCGGAAATGTAGATTAGAACGTCATTTAAGATATTGAAATCAAACTATAGGTATGAAGATTAGTACAATAGGTACCTACCTACGTAATTATTATTATTTTAATCAATACATATAATAAAATTTTTACTAAACGATACGAACGAATCTGTACATTAAATATTTTTTGGAAAATCTTATCGAAATAGACATTATTATCGATGCAAAGGCTAAATCAATAGTTTTTAGAATTTTTGTCTCTCTGTGACCGCATCACGGAAATTCCACTGGAGGGATTTCGATGAGGTATGATGATACTGCGGTACGGGTATCATCATACCTCATCGATATAGGATATATAGATATAGGATACTTTTTACTGCGGGAAAATATCTCATTTCTGAGAAATCTATACTAAACGTTAAAAGTTAAAACATAGGTAAGTAGGGACGAACCCGAGCGGAGCGAGGGTGAGTCGCTAGTTACATAATATTAAACGGTAAACGTCGTAAACAATAAATATATTGGATCTATATTTATATTATTTTTAGTGTTTCCTATATATTATTTTTAAAATATCACATTATACATAATCGAAAACTGCTAGAACTAAACAAAAAAAAACTAGATTTTTTATGTAAGTACATATATTTTAACGTCTATACCCATTGTTCATAACATAAGAAAACTGTACAGCCTTTTTTATGGTTTATTATTAAATATGACAATATTTCTATAGAATATCTTGTAAAAAACTCTCTCACCGCATTACTCATGGACTCCTGCGCCCGCGCCTCAATCTATCCATCGATGCACGAGTCCGTGCAAACCCATCATAAGCCCATCGTTTTTATGTTTTCCATGTTTACCAACATACGTGGGGGTCTCAGAGTTCATAAGTATCAAAGTGAACGAGAATGTTCTACAAAATGATTTTTGTAGAAAATTCTCTAAAGAATGATAAAGGAAGTACCTATAGATAATACTACTTTATGTTGATAAAGACAATCATGTTTAGAAGAAGCAACTCACCCTCGCTACGCTCGGGTTCGTCCATACGTTTTAAGGATTAGTATAGATTTCTCAGAGATGAAATACTTTCCCGCAGTAAAAAGTTTATGTTGACCCGAATAACCAGCTATCATCATACCAAATTTCATCACAATCTTTCCAGTGATTTTCTCGTGATACGTTGCCAGACAGACAGACAAAAACTAAAAACTATAGATTTTCCAAAATATTTAATGTAGGATTCGAGTCAGAATTTTATTATAATATATATAGATAAAATAATTATCTAAAACATATAAAAGTTACTATGTTTTGACTCGATTTCAAGAAGCGACCGCCGACCTAAATAATAATTAAGCATTCAAAGTGAAACCCCAAGGCATATATTTATGGCTATTTATACTTGTATTTAAATTAAATCTTAAGAAAAACTTAGTATTACAATATTACTAGCGACTCACCCTCGTTCCGCTCGGGTTCGTCCCTGGGGTGGAGTCTGGGAGGACCACCCTTATCCTTATCACTTAGGGGTATGGAAAATAGATAGTAGCCGATTCTTAGACCTACTAATACGCATATAAAATTTGGTAAAAATCGGTAAAGCCGTTTTGGAGGAGTACGGTAACAAACATTGTGACATGGAAATTTTATATATAAGATATTATATAGGTTTAATATATGAATATTCTTTCATAATAACATTGTTATATTTACGCACCAAAACAAATTATTTACTTAAAACTGCTTTGATTACAGCGTAAAGGACCTATTTGTACTGCTTAAGATATCATTAATATAATCATCACCCGCCTGTCTGAATGTTTACAGAGAATATAAAGAATCACAGTTATTGTACCATAATATCCTCATACAAAGCCTTTTTCTATTCAAAATCCGAGTCTACGCTTTGTAAACTCCTGCGCTGTAATTTTTGAGGAAAACAGTCTATTTCAATTTTGAGCTTTAATTTTTTGTAATAAAATTCATTTTATCCTGCAGTTTGTAGAGTCGCAGTGTTACTGCATCATAGGCTTATTTGATGATTTTTTTTAAATTTTTACTCTATAATGATACAGTTAAAGTTAAAAATGGCTTAAATCGAATTCGTAGCGATATTTCGTAGAGGGAAGTGGTCGGTAGGCGTTGCCTTTGAAGTTGTGGACCATGGTGGTACAACATAGTCACGACTTTATATGGCATTTCATGTTCGTACGCATTGAAACCCGAATGAATGTTTTCTTTTTTCTTCCAAATGATTTAATAAAGCTTCGATGAGGATACGTTTGTATAAAACGTTTTATTAATATTTATTTGATATCAGAGGAGAGATCAAACATCTAAGTTTCTTTTTTCTAGAACATGCCTAAATTACTCTATTCTGCTTTAAAGTATATTAAATACTTTTTTATTTAAATATTATATTAAAAAAGTTATTTAATTATATATCTTTATATATATAATTCTTCTGTGAGTGTGTATGTCACTGAACTTCTCTCAAACGACTGGACCGATTTTGATGAATTTTTTTGTGTGTGTTCAAGGGGATCTGGGAATGGTTTAGATTCACAATTTGAATAATAATTTTCATCAAAAAAATTATTAAAAAAAGTTTGAAATTTTCAAATTAAAGACGTGTAGACAGGACAACGTCTGTCGGGTCCGCTAGTATATACTCTATATATATATATAGAGTAGTCACCTAATTATTCCAAAGTGGTAAATAAAAAGATATAACAACTTACATGTCCTTGCGCATCCATCGTATTATTTGTCAGTTTGAGTTTACTAAACGACACGGGATTAGCAGTCCAGTGGTGTCCAGGAGCAGGGGAATCAGGATGCAGCATCAGCCTGCGTGGGGACTGTGGCTCGGCGCCTCCCGCGGCGGCCCAGGAGCCCCCGGCCCAACGCCAGCGCCTTCGCCCCACCAGGGAGAGCTCCAATAGCACGCAGTACTCCTCGCGAGGGTCGAGTCCGCTTAGCGACACGCGGAGGGATGGAAACATGCGTCTGTGGACCAAATATATTACGAATTTAAAATATTTTTATGTTCTCTCTGTAGGTTTAATATATTTAATGAATTAATTAGTATTTTTCTACCAAAACAATTAAAATGATTAAATTGAGAAAATTAAAATGTTTAATAGCTCGTTATAAAGACCGCAACACAACTCTTGTCTCCAATTAAGTAAACTCGTAAGATGAACACAATAACGCAAATATTCCCCACATTCCTACGCATACCGGTTGTAAAAGTAGTAATAAATGATAATTGTGTTTGAAAATCATTTGCATTTTCATTTCTTGTATCAGATAAAAGGTATAATATAATTATCACCTCAAACCTTTCGGCTTATATATTGTGTGAATCGTATTGGAATTTGGAGCCCCTTTAAAATATTTATAAAAGCATTGAAAGTATTACCAAACATTAACACTTAATTTGTAATAACCGCTTATCAAAATCTAACGTAAGAGAATGCTCGACAGCCGAAGGTGTTTCAAATTTGAATAAATAAAATAACATTCAAAGTTCACTTAAAAAACTAACACTTAACAGTGTATAAAAGATAAGTTTGTAGATGGACCGGGAGCGGACAAAGAAGCCGATGATAAAATGCTGGAAGACAGTGAATAGCGGATAGACAATAGATGTATCCGTCGATTTTTGTATTTTATCATGCGTATAAAACATGATACGAGTAAAAGTGTTGACCAACGAGGGCTTTTGGCACCCGTTTTTGGGAACGTCATAAAGGTAAAATGCGTGGCGCCGGCTTATCGGCAGCTCGGACCGCCGGGGTGATGCTTGGCGAATCATTCATTTGTTATTGACATTCAACAGCCACCGATAAGAGAATTAGCATGAAGTTTAGTTGGAAACAGAAAATTTTCAATGTAATATTAAAAAATTCATGATAAGCACAAAATAGTCAAAATGTACAATTATTGTTTTTTTTTTTAATTTTCAATCGATTTATTGAAGTATGCAATAATAAGGTTCTACTAATCAATACCTACTTTAAAAAATATCTGTACTCTTTATTACAAAAGAATGAGCATTCCTAAACAATAGTAATCAATATACAAAAAGTATAATTTACATAAGTTCTATTAAAAGATAGGTACATTCTCAAATAGGCCCTCATCAAAGTGTTATCAGCTCTCGGTCCTCCGCCATCCGTCATAACGCTGTTATCACGACGCCGGGAGGCCGCTAATGCACGCGATAAGAAACGCTACAATTAACAACGCACTAAATTAGCTTCCATTTAAACTTTACGACGCCGGCTACTGCCTTACGTGCTATCGGTTTCTATGAGGACAGTCCGACCAGCTATGGATAAGTGCTACGATATTGGAAAATATTGATGTAGCGGCTTAGATGCATTGGGTACTAAGATTGGTAGCGGCCATATAAACATGCAGCGAGCTTTTAAGTTTTATTACAATTAGGTATTTATTAACAAAATTTTAAGTATTATCTCGTATTGGCAATATTGTGTAACTTTTATCTCGTTCCAACGTTAAAATGTTTAACTTAATGTATCGGATAAGGTAAATCTCGCGTCCTTACATTGACAATATTGACACAAGTCCCACTCTGGGAGCGTACAAACAAACAGTACAAAGTTAAATATGTACATACAATACTTGTACACTATCGACGCCTTATGTTGACTGGGCCAGACAAATCCTTTGCTACCGTTCGAGCCTTATCGAAACCTGTCCGGTTATCGAGGCGATTGAACTCGCCGACAAAGGTGATGATCGAAAGGCAAAATGCGCAAAAGCCCCACGACCTCACTTTAAGACCCTATTACAGTCAGCTACTGCAGAGAAAAGGATCTCTAATACATTAAGATACACTTAATGCTGTATTTATTGCGGCCTATCGCTACTCACTTCGTAAAGCCAAATGGGTTTTAGGTCATTACCTGGCAATTTTGTTATCTAAATCCTTTAAAAACCACATTTTCTGCACTCAAAATCCGCGATATAAGCACTTTCAAAAACCTTAATTAATAATCGCCGTTGCATTCTCATTTATGAACACATTTAATTATTTCGGCCTCATTATCGGTCAAATTTACAAGCGATCGTGTTTAACGATTAAGACGAAATATCAACTTTCATTACACATCGATAAATAATCTTTCAAGCATTTCGAATTAACGATATTGTAACAATCATAAATGAAATGTTCACGTCGTTTTAACGATATGTTATACGTCAATGCAAATGAAATAAGGAGACTATAAAAAGGGAGCGCCATAAAAGGCGGTCGAGGGCGCGCTAAGCTGTGCAGGCTTCGCCGGTGGGAAGGACTTAGTAGAATACAATGGGACCACCAAAATCGTAACGAATAAACTTAAGAGCGGGCCATAAATCGGTAACAACTTGCCAATTGCCGCACGGAGGCGCTAACAGCACGGGAAGAGACCGCCACATCCGCTCTCGCATCCGCACTCGAAAACTTAAACCGCGACTAGCCCTTCGCTATCATATCCGCTTATTATATAAATACTTCAATTTTTATTGACTGGGTGCTAAACGCTATTAAACAAAGCGCAAAATAATAGCTGTCGTAAAGTATAGATAAGCTAAAAGTTGCATTACAATAATAAGTGCCTACATACTTGAGTATAACAGAAGCAGTATCTTGGTCGTAAGCGTGTTTTTCTTTCACGTCACTCGACAAGTAATAAAATTATCCCTAACCTACCCTTCACGACTTCAAATTATCTTTACTACTGATTTCATGGCCGTTTTATAGTCAAGTTCAATGTTAAGACAGAACGCTTGTTATTATGACAGTCGAGCTCTTGTCCTCGGCATCTGTTCGTGTCGGCCATCTCGAAGGATAAACAAGCTTTATAATTTTCGAGTGTGTCCAGAATAAGGATTACCTGAATAACTTGTACCGTTTCATTAGCGTGCACACGAGAGGTCCGGACCCGGTCCAGATGTGAGTCTGGGTAAACAGCCAAAACACTCCTCCTCCATTGTCTACTTCATAAAAAATCGGACACCTGGATGTGTCAAATTGTTCACTCGGGCAGTGCCGAGGCAAGCCGTGAGAATCGTAGCGCTCTAAAGTCCTTATGTTTGGATTGTAATTAACAATGCTACAGTCGTGTTTGTTGTAAATGTATTTTTTACATATATATTTTTTCTATATTTTTAAGGAAATTGTATTTCGTATATTTCATATATAAATATCTCGTGTCACGGTGTTTGTCGACCGGCTCGACCGATTTTAATGATTTTTTTTCTATATTTGGTAGGTATGAGGTCGAAAAGTATTTTTCACCCTCCTATTTCACCCCCAATTTTTAATCTCGATTTTAGTATTTTTGTATCAACAATATTATATAAATACTGTATAACATAAAAAAAAGCTAAAGAGTTTTTTTTGTAGATCGAACGCGAGCGTAGCCGCGGGTTCTGCTAGTACCTAATTTATAAAAATAAATATGACCCACATTTAGGATTCAAAAGTTAAACCATTGCTGGACAAATACTATCTTAGTAAATAACTTTGACTGAAGAATAATATAAGCAAAGGGCAAAAAACCTAAATAAATATTTAACACTACCAACTTACCCTTGCTTTGCTCACTCGAGCGTAGGTACGTTACATTTACGATACGTTTGAAATACTCGTAGATATAAAAAGTTATTGTGAGTGTACATTAAGAGATAAGCATATGATATAGCTTTTCTGTGGGCCTTTTTAAGACCTACAATTTTTATTATATTGTTTTGATATATCTCTTAAGGTTTAGCAAGCGTTAGCCAATAGCCACATATATTTCTAAGGACGACTCGATAGAACCAGTTGTGTTTTATAGGAATAAAAGGTTTTCCCGTAGTAAAAGGTATCCTAATGTTGACTAGAGTAATAAGTTATCACTGCACATTTAGTTAAAGTCTGTTTAGTACTTTTTTGTGAAACATGCACACACAAACAGACAAACAGACAAACAGACAACTACTGTTTTGTACTACCCCAAACTATTGTTTTGGGGTCTATATTCTGTATACAATACGTTAAGTCATTATATTTAAAAAATATTTTATGTACAGATTTCGCTAAGTTACTATCTATATATGTATATATAATAAAATTCTAATTGATTCAGAATCTGTATATTAAATACTTTTTGGGAAATCTTATTGAAATAGACATTATTATCGATACAGAGGCCGAATATATAGTTTTTAGAATTTTTGTCTGTGTGTCTGTCTGTTACCGCATCACGGCAAAGCCACTGGATAGATTTTGATGACATTTGGTAAGATGATAGCTGATTATATGGGTTAACATATAGGATACTTTTTACTGCGGAAGAATGTCTCATCCCTGAGAAATCTATACTAAACGTTAAAACGCACTTACGGAAGAACCCGAGCGACGCGAAAAAGAGTCGCTAGTTTTATTATATTTATAGATTCAACAATAATATAAAAACAAATAATACACGAGTACAATAATAACACACTAACCATTCAACAGTACATATAAAAGGCGGTTCAAATCGCACAACGTATCATAGGTAATCTAAATAGCAGCTAACCCAATCATCTAGTACCTATGTAAATAATACGCATAAAAATATTATCATTAAGTTCTCATAGAAACCATATGCTCGAGACTCGCCTTCGCAAATAGAGTTAACTTTAAAACAAGCTTATAATAAAATAAATAAACCGAAGGGATAAAAAACGTTCGATGTATTCTCAAGCTTGTAACTCAACATTAGCATATTGATGAGCTTCTATCTGTTTGGACTTTGTTTAAAATCAGCGACAGCACATTCAATCATAACGATCGTGACAAAAAGTTTAACATTCTGTCAAAGTTTTTATTTTATCGATCAGTTTTTTAAGCGGCTGCAGGTGGCAAAAAATATTGCATTCGGGATCGGGCGTGCGTAAATTATTTCTAACAGTTGTCGAAATGCTTGTTTGTAAAAAATTGACACGACCAGTTTCTAATAGCTTTT